AATGACAACCTACCTATAAGGTGATAGGGTGATCTAACATAAGCTTCATATATGTAAGAACTTTTTTAAAAAAATTAAAAATTGAATGTATCACAGTTAACAAGACGGGAAAAGCCTGTTTGTACTGCCCTGACTTAAAAAAGTAGAAGCCTCCAGTAACAGAGAAAAAAAGTTGTTTTGGGAGCAAAAAGGGGTGGACTGATTTCAACCAGCCTTTTTGTTATACAGTCAGTAAAAATACTTCAAATCCATCTGTTTTATAAGTGGAGTAAATCCCACAGTGTTTGACCATGTAGTCACAGCCTGTGTGTATGTTCTGGGCAAACATCCAATGAGACTGTAGATACAGTTAATATATTATTAGTACATCATTAGCATTTTCTTTACTTCTGCTCGTTGCAAAGTGGCTTCTTTTGTTTTGCAGTTGTCTGTTGAGATGTATGTGTATTTTATTTGTAAGTCTAATTGCTCAGGCATGAAGCTTGGAAATGATTGCATTCTTGGAGGGAAAAGACTGTTAACAGCAGAAAATATGGGCTTCCTTTAATGTTTGACTATAGGATTGGCCCTTCCTCAGCATACTCTCAGTCCATTGTACAAAAAGGTCAAAGGCATGCCCACTGTCTTGATTTCCTTGGGAGGAAAACACTCAAAGAGCCACCACTGCAGCAAAATAGAAGTCTCAAAGATCTACACCAGGGAAAGTTAGCCCACCATTATTTGTCATTTCAGGAAGATACAGATGGTGGGCTGCAAACGTTTACACTGAACACACATGGACCAAACAATTTAAATTGAATGTGTTCTAAATTTAATTCATCTTTTATAATCATGTATTCAGAGCAGCCTGACTGCACATGTGAGTGGTTATCTCCTCATCAGAAGTAGTCCCCCCCGCAGCATATATTCCTTTTCTATTTTTATCAGAAGCTGAGTCTTTTTCTGAAGCTATATTATCCATCAATGTTTGATAATGTCTCTTTGATAATTACAGTTTTTAAAAGGTGATCATGAATTGACTGAATAAATGAAAGAAAAAGCCAAAGAGCAAGATAAGAATAAAGTTCAAAACTTTATTCATTTACTTGGTTTGAGTACAACAGTGATGTAGATTATAGTGGCACTGGGTGATGTTTGCATTATGGAAACTGAGATGAACAGCAGTGATTCACGGCCAATGTTTCATTTTTGCCAAAAAGCATATTGAGGCATTAGTGATGGTGTCTTGTTTTTGCTTTTAAACAGAAGGCTCCAAATCAGAGCTGTCCCACAACAAAAGAGGGGAAATAAGCAGAAGGGAAACAATCTGAAAAAGGCTACTTTTTCTCATTTATGTAAAAGTGTGGGCCAGGGAACATGTAAACCACATAGATAAAAACCTAAGAAAACTGAAGCAAAATACATCTCATTAAAGTGATCTTCCTGCCACACAGCAGTAAGGCTCCCCCATTACAAGGGTTGTCACCAACCTGTACTACTACTTTGTGCCATAAACAATTTACAAATTAGAATAATTAGAATACTTGATACAACAGGGGTGGGCGGTTGTGGCCCTCCAAATATTTATAGACTGGAGCTTCCATTTATTTTCACCACTGGCTATGTTTGCTAAGGCTGATGAGAGCTGTCAGCTAAAAATATCAGGAAGGTCACAGTGCCCATCCCTGTAAAGGCTCTTCTCCAATCTTACAGACCAAGAAATTGCCTGGTATTGATACTGTTTTCATCAAATTCCATGGGATTTACATTACACCCTGACTCTGCTCATTTGATTCACAAACTAGAGGTTGGTTTGGAAAACAAATTGTGCAAATTAGTATTTGTTACCTTAGAAAACAGACCTGGGTGCAAAATGCATACCCTTGAACAGCAAAAATAATTAATCACAGATTCACATTGCTGCACTCCACAGCTTGCTGGAGTCAATAACCAAAATCCTGGTTGATGTTAAAAGTGTTTGGATGGAAGCCACTGGAAGATAATGACCAAACTCATGCAGTGTTACCACTTTCATACATGGATGGACAGCTTAAGGATGATACAATAAAACATATTGGTTCTTTCCCAATAGAAATCATTTTGCACAATGAAGGAATGTACAAAAGTACCTGAAAGCTCCTAGTATTTTCAAATTTTGTGACTTGATATTTGGGGTTAAACCATGCTGATTTTGCCATCTTTCAAAGGCAGTCAAGCAAGACCTTTGTACAGCTGCCACCATTTTCCTGACAGAGATTCTGTGCTGTACCTTACAGGAAGAAATCTAATTATTACTTACATGCCTTGTTATGCAATCGCCATATTAGGAAAAGCTATGTTTGCTAATTGTTTTCTGCTCCAGAGTCTCTTATCAGGAATATGGTACACTTGAAACATTAACATGTTAATCAGGATGTTAAACTCTTTATCCTAATCTGCATTTTAGGATAGATTAGGATATCAAACAGTAGAAACATGTAAGGTGGGCAGGGAAAACTGTCCCATAGTTAAGCACCATTAGGAGTTAAGCACCTACCTCACTGGAGGTGACTGAAGTGTTTTTAATTTCAAATGGATAGACTCTGAACAATTATTTCACCACAACAGGATTTAGGAATTACAATAATGTGTAAAAAATGTCACAAATCTAGGAAACTCTTCTACAGTGAAGGTCTGCATTCTGGGGGGCATGACATAGCAATCAAATCATTATTCCCATGTGTTTCTCTGGTTTTTCCATCTTTTTTTTTTAGTACTCAGAAAATCTTACTTGTAGGGAGATGAGGATCAATAATGTAATCTCTATAGCTATATATTAGCACAGTTCCCTCCCCCCCTTTTTTTTGAGAGGAGAGTGGCATGTACATGTACAATGACCTACTGGAATGGAGTGGGGGATTTAATCTATCACAACACACCTAACTCAACACACCTTTGCTAGCTTTCCCATGAGAAACATGTTATCAGTGTGTGGTTTTCACAGAAATCTTAATTTTCACTAAAATGCCCTTTCACCTATTTAATTTTTAAATAACATTTTAAATAAATGCACATGTGCACTCAAGTGCTTCCACACACATGTTCATTCACACAAGGGTTATAACCCACTCCCCAAGTGGGGAAAGGCAACTGCCGTTCCACATACAGCTTCAAATGGATAAGCAATGATAGGGCAATGCAAAGAGGCGGTGGTCAGCATCTCCAGAATCTGCAAGCTTTTACTTCTGAATGGTAGTGTTTGCCAGCACAATAGCTCAAGGACTGTAAACTATGGGTCGTTTACGGAATCACAAGATTCATCTGACTTGGATAAAGAAAAAGTTAAATCAGATCCAGATCCATTAAGTGCCCCTTTCCACACGTTAGAGATGTGAACATACATTTGCAGTGCCTATGAAGAGTGCCTTAACTAGACATTGCTGTCATTTGGGAAGCCTCCAATTCTTCCCAGTACTTCACAAACACAAGGACCATCCTAGTTTTCCAGAAGCTAAAGAATGGAGGCATTTCTGGCTTGGCCAATGCAGAAAATGATGTGATAAAGAAGTGGGAAAAATGGAAAAATCAGTTAAGAATGATGGGGAAGAATGGAAGGCTGTGGAACAACTTGGTACCCCATGTGGCTGGAACCTACAAATGAGCAGCTTCCCACAATATTAGAGGTGCCATGTAGGATGGTTTTTCAAGTAGCAGCCATGCAAAATGTTGGCCACCCATTGTATATTATCTCTAGCAGCTCAGCTGAAGGAAGTATGGTCAAAGTATTAAACAAGGAGGGAATGGATGCCATGCCTGGAAAGAAAGCAATTGTTTTGAGCTATAAATATATTCAGAAAGAGGGAGGAATGGATACACAAGATTGATTCTAGCTGGTGAAGTTGAAACTCTGGTAATTGTTCACATTGCAGTCAAAATATGCTACTCTCAACTCACCTTCTGTGGACAAGACCATAAATCTCTGCCCAGAGCCGATAGTAAAGGAGCATGGCACCAAAGGAAGGGCAAATATCAAAGAATGTCAAATCACACATAGATAATAGATGGTATGGTAGCAGCAACAGCACTATGGAAAGGAGTAAAGCAATCCATGTATCCCTTTTGCAATTCAGTGGCTTCCATTCCAATGTTTGCTCTTGAGACAATTGCCAGTAAATAGCATGGCCTACCATAAAGCATTAATCCAGATCATTGTAAATAGCAGCTAATTAGAATAGACAAGTTAACCCAATATAATGGCATAAAGTATGGCTATTATTATAAATGAAATGCAAGTACAAATTTCTGTTTGGGAAAGTCTCTTTAAGCCTCTTAAAGCTGCTACAATCTCTTTTAACAGGCAGGGTCTTCTGGGACTGATGGTAGAATTAGAATCAGTGAGAAGAGCAGCCAGACACAGAAAAATGATTACCATTCCTTGATGAAGAGGCCATTCTTATTGCTGCTAAGGCACCCTGGCAGCCTCTTCCTGCCAGAAATGAGAGGATGAATACAGACAGCCATTTGCTATGTGATAATTTACAATGTAGACACTTAGCCTCTCATCAGCGCCATTCTGCTGGGTTTCAAGAATTTTACAACTCCTCTGCTTCCCAGAATTATTGTGCAGATGCACAATAAGGTTTTTCTTACCTCCTAGCAAGCTGTCACATAGAAAAACTACAGAGCACCTACAGGTGTGTTGGGCTATGAGTCTCATCGTCCCCAGTTAGCACTGCCAGCAAACATATTGACTCGGAATTGTGGCCTCACACATATGGAGAATGCCACATTAGTGAACGGTGTAATGCAGCCTAACACTTGCCACTACACAGTCTTCCACACACTTGTATCTTACATGCATTTGCCTCTTAACAATAGAAACAGCCAAAGTAGGAGCACTCACTCAGGAGTAAAGTAGCAGTTACAGGTCCAGATTAGAGATGGACATGAATTAAAAAATGAACTGCAACATTTGTCTAAAATTGCTAATTCATCAATTTGTATTCATCATTTCTGATGAATCAATGAATTTTAGTGATTTTTGATTTGTCAATTCATTGGAAAATAAAATAGCCCTCAGGCACCTAGACACCAAAATTGCAGAAAAGCTTTCCTCGACTCTCCTCTACTAGCCCTGAAAGTTTAATGAAGTTTCGGTTTTGGACATCCAGGTTATACGCCTGCAAAGATGCCCCCCCCCGAATGTTCTCCCCAGGGACCTAGAGACATCAAAATAACAGAGAAGCTTTCCCCAACTCTCCTCTACAATCCCTTCAAGTTTGGTGAAGGTTGGGTTTCGAACACCTGAGTCATACACTCACAATGTGGGTCCCCTCAGAAAAGTGGGCGTATAACCTGGGATGTCTGAAATCCAATCTTAACCAAACTTGGAGGAATTGAAGAGGAGAGTCAAAAGAGGCTCCTCCGCAATTTTGGAAAAAATAAAAAACTAGGACAAGGCTGTGTGGTACTCAAAACAATACAAATGCAGGAATAGGTGATACCTTTATTGGACCATTATATAAAAACATTATTTTATTTTCTTAATGGTCCAATAAAGTATCACGCGTTCCTGCATGTGCAGTTTTAATGTCTTCGCCTAGAGGGACCTTTCCTGGGGGACCTTTTTGTGGGTGTATAACTCAGACATCTGAAGCTGAAACATCACCAAACTTGCGGTGCTTGTACAGGAGAATCAGGGAAAGCTTCTCTGTGATTTTGCTGTCTCTAGATGCCTGGGTGTGTGTGTAGTTTTATAGGGTTTTAAAACCAAGACAACTTGACAAATTGTTTTGTCAATTCATCCAAAATTTATAAATTCATGATTTGTCAACTTTGACAAATTACAAATTGTGATGAATTGCCATTTCCCCCCCAATTTGTGCCCATCACTAGTTCAGATAGTAACCTTACCAAGTGATTATATGCTAACTTACCATTCAATGACTACGGTTAGCTTTTAAGTCTAAATGTGGAAAGTACTACAGTACAAATCTTCTCTTCCTAAGGCTTAATGTCCAAGTCTGTCATATTATATGCAGCGACCTGAGAATAAGCCTCACAAAATGCACTTGGGCTTACTTCTGAGTGAAAGCATGTGAGATTGCACTGTTAAGTGAAGAATTAATATGAAACCTGCACACTTCAGTGGAAACAAAAAGTAAAACCTTAAATTGTGGCAGTCGTCACTCAAAGGTAAGGGGGAAGCCTATCAGTGCACACTACTGTTGACAAAGAACAGCTTTGGGTCCTGTCAAAAGAAGTTGTCCAGGTTTTTTTTTTTAGACAAACACTCACTGTTTTCCAGGGAGTTTGGCTACCAGGAGGCCACCTTATATAATACTCCCAGTGTGTAATAAAGTGAGCCCCACTTGGGTCAGAAGTGCTGCTTCTTTGTCCAGGCAATGAGAGTAAATAAACAAGGAACCTACACGGCAGCTTTGTAATACTAAGAGAAAATAAAACCCAAGCCATCATTTGCAAAACATGAGTTTGCAATTGCATGAGGAAAATGAAACCAAACATTGCTTCACTTGATATTACTGTGCAGTATCATCGGTGTATACAAAGAAGTGACTGCTTAACCTCTCACTTTTTCACAGCAGAGCCTGCCAGGAGGAGACGTGTCCGCAGCATTGTCTTTGTATAACTGTTTACATCTAATTTCCTTCTCATCAGAGTTCCAGCATTCTTTAGTGTTGTAGGCCACCAGATGCGCGCCAATAGCACCTGTCTGTTTCAACAGATTTCATCCTGATTCAAACGTTTCCTTTACTAAGGAGACAGAACTTGTTTTGGCATAATCCAGTTCCATCTCACACTATTAATGTTCATAAAATGCAACTATAACTGCAGGAACAATACAAGGATGGTATAGTTCCCTCTCTTGACACCACAGCTAGCCCGTGACAGATGGTGCCTAGGTGAGAAGTGGTATTAACTCACATATTGCCTCCTTAGAGACATGATCAGAGCAGCATGTGGCCGGATCGTGTCACAATGACTCTTCTGCAGCAAAGGGAGCACTAGCATTAAATCCTAAGTTTTTGTTTTACTATGGTTTCCATCTGAAATTGCTCCTGAACTAGAAAACTCAGCCCCTTCCCCTCTGTTGCTTGTTGCTCTTGTTAACATTTAACCAACTGTCTTAAGCAAGAATAATATTAATTAAAGTTGGAGTGAAATGGAGAAGGGAAGATTCAACACAGCAAATCATTAGCAGATATGTGCAAGTGGAATCCAGGAGTTTGTTCTTGAAGAATCTGGCTGGAGAAAAGCTGTCTCAGTGGCCCACTTCATTGATAGACACTGCAAAAATAACAGGCTGCTTGAAAACAATGAGTACTTATTTAGTGGTGGTGCCCAAAGGGTCAATATATTACACAGAATTCCTTCCTTAACTAGAGAATGTATTCATTCATTCCTTGGAGAGACCATGATTACCTAAGTGTAGGATGGTGTACCTTGGGCACTTCCTTGCCGTATCAACACAGGCCCTTGACCTTTGCATAAGAGGGAAGGGGAAATAAGGAAAGCAGAGCAGCTTCACATTATGCATATATGTTGTGTAGAAACTTGATAATGGATAAAAATCACAGCTGAGATTTTACACACAGTTTTGGGCCACAACTCTCTGACAAGCTTGATAGGCCATTGCTCAACCGCATGGCATACACAGATGGGTGCCTTTCTCAGATTCTCCCCCCTCTTTTTTTATTATGTTTTGTTTTCCCCCTCCTTAAGCATTTGCTCTCTCCAAAAAAGTTTGGTCTTAAGTATAATACATTATCCTATTTGCAATATTTTCTCCTCAAAGGGACAGAATGATTCAGAACAGTTTGGCTTTTTTCTTCATTTCGTTGCGTCTCCAGAGAGGTAACTTGTCAAATTCCTGTATCGTCATGCCGAATATTTCTTGAAAAACCTCAGGTGCTAAATGGCGCTTAAAAAAATACAACAGGAAAGGACAGTGATTAGTTCAAGGATATAAAACAGATGGGCTGTGCCCAACAGCAGTGGTTTTCAACTTTTTCAAACACGGATCTACCTACAATTAGGGAGTGGCATGTCACTTCTGAATTGTTCTTATTCCTTTACCCCATGCTTACCCGGTGACAGTCAGCTTTGGCTTTGGATCAGGTTATAGTCCACCGACAAAAGTAGGAAGAAGCACAGGGATTCACTGACTAGGCTTGAGCAGTTAGCAGGCGAATGAAGAGCAGATACTGAAATATGAAGTGGTCTTGTCCTGGGTCAGTACATTGGCCCACCTAGCTTACAACTCTGACTAGAAGCAGATCTTTGTATTGATGCTGGAGATTGACCAAGAGAAGGAAAAATCTCTTGTGACATAGATTTGTAGGAACTCAAATAGTAGAATATTATGGCACTGAAGGTCCCAGATCCAGTACTTGGCGGTGGTAGTAAAATGAATGTTAGGCAACAAAACTGGGAAAAACCTCTGCCATGAACCTTTGCAGTTTATTGGTACTCAGAGACCAAAATCCTTGTGCATAAGTTACATTATCATAAGGGTAATGCCATCACCTGCATAAGCAGGCTGACACTAATTAAAAAGTCCCTGCTTTATTTCCTTGTTGCTTAAGCATATTCTCATGGTGCACGAGCCAAGTAGCTTCACAGTGGCAATGATTTATGGAAGAATTTAAAAAGCAGCATGCCTTGGGGATTCTTCCATGAATTAGACTGACATTCCTTATGAAGTTACACTTCATTTCCAGGTCACTTATGAAGCTAATCTAACTCTCATGCAATGAAATGATGTTTAAGCAAAGAGGACTCCAAATGGGGACTGCAGGCATCATCATTTGCCTTATGCCGGTGTCACTTTTCCAAGAGGATTTTGGCCACAGGAGACTAATCTGGGCTAAATGGAGTACATGGCTGAACAGACTGTCTGTGCTTTGTGAATGTTTTAAAGGGAGCCAACATATCTTTCTTTGGAGTGTCCCTAAGTGATTATTAGCATGGATAGTGGAAATAAAATAATCCTACATGTTGTCCAGGATCCTGTACTGTATTTACAACTGTGCAAAGTTGCAACTACGAAAGTCGCTGTGGCAATCTGACAAGGTAGCATGTGACCAGGCACATACTTCACACCTTATGAGATCACAGTGGCAGCTTACACTGCTGAGCCTTCTATGCAAATATTGAACAGGATGCCAGCCAGTGGATCACAGTGGCAGCTTCCACTGCTGAGCCTTCTAGGCATGCAAATATTGAACAGGATGCCAGCCAGTATGATCATTTCTATGACAGGCTGGCAATGGTGAATTCTTTTTCTGTTTTTCTGTTGAGTCAACCTTGAGCCAGCTACCTAAGCCCATCAGGATCAAACCTGGGTCGTGAGCAGAGTATTGACTGCAGTAGTGCAGTTTAACCACAGTGCCACAAGGCTTCTAACATAAGCTTTTGTGAACTGCAGCAATTCAGAAACTGATTCATGCTAATAATGTGGGCTACAACCTGTGAAATTTTACATAAAATAAAACTTGTTAAGACCTCAAGGTGCCACAAGACTCTTATTTTGCTGAAGCAGACTAACATGGCTACCCTCCCGGAAATTCCTTTACATGAATGAAAGTTTGATATTTTTTTTTCTTAGCTTGCCATCCTTTGTTGCTAGAGTCATTTTTTTAAAAAAATGAACCTTACACCTCTACAAGGCCTTCTTCTAGCAAAAGAGCAGTAACTTCTACAACAAGGGTCCACTTACCTCCAGTCTGGTTCTATCCACTTCCCTCAGAATTTTACTTCGCCCTCTGTTGGTCACCATAAGCATTTCATATGGGAATATCTGTTAATTGCACAGAACAGGCATTTATGTAGAATTTACAGTGCAGCAGAAAGCCATGGTTAAGCTTGCAAGGACAATCTGATCGTTGTTGGGAGGCAGCTGCAAGTTGACTAAAAAGATTGCTTCAAATACTTGCATTACTTGGTTGTTAACTGAAAAAATTAGGATGATGTCTGCACTAGCTTAATTTTGTACAACACAACACTAAAAGTAATCTGAGGAGGAACCAGTGGATTCTAGAGAGCACCCTATTTCTTGTCATTGATTAGACTTAAGTGGTATTTAACTTTTTGGTTTATTCACATTAAAGTAAGTTTTTCATTAAGTGGCATCACAGTCTGGGAAAGTATTCCTTCTCCACCATCATTACGCTATCTAAATCTTTAAGAAATAAATGAAAGCTCTCTTTTGAGATACCGACAAAGTATCTTTATATACAAACAAGTATCCCAGTGAGTCTGAGGACTGGCAATCCCTGGGAAACAGGGTGTCAATATATTCTTATGGGGACGAAGAAGTTAAGTGACCAGAGTTGTGTGGAGGCTGTCCATTCCTTCCTTTTCCCGATAAAATATACTATTTGTTGTATATTTCATACTGTACAGTACTACTACTGCTGCCTATTCCAACTCATAGTATCCTTATGAATTAATATATTCCAAAAGATCCTATCATTAACAGTCTTGCAAACAAAAAGTGACGGCTTTCTTTATGGAATCAATTCACCTTATGTCAGGCCATCCTTTTTTTCCCTACTGTCTTCTGAAAATATGATATGCATGGCGGTTTTCAACATTCTTCTACTGAAGAAACTCTGTCTACTTATCTTACATGCCAATGAACAGCTGTAAATAAAGAGGATGCTGAAATTTGTTTCATGCTCCATGCTCAGAGCATATGGCCCATTAACCAGTCAAGTCTCTGATCACTTTGAATTGGCAGTGCACCTTTGAACAGATCCATCTTTCCCCTCCAACTGTATACTGCAGAGGAAGCTAAGTGTACTGAATAACAAGCAGCTTTTGAAACTGAAGTCCTATATGCATCTACCTGAAGTAAACTCAACATACAGTATAGGACTGCCCAGTATTGTTAGATACAGAATTGCAAGGCAACCCAAACATCTGCTGAAAGCCGGAGTTGAGTGGTGATTACGAGTATTAGTATCAGATGGAAGAGCCCACATATTGATGAGATCTATTGGTTGGGTAGTTCATCTCCCTTCAGGGTGCGCCTGCAGAAGTATAGGACTGCCCAGCATTGTTAGATACAGAATTGCAAGGCAACCCAAACATCTGCTGAAAGCCGGAGTTGAGTGGTGATTACAAGTATTAATATCAGATGGAAGAGCCCACATAGAGATGAGATCTATTGGTTGGGTAGTTCATCTCCCTTCAGGGTGCGCCTGCAGAACAAACATCTGCTGAAAGCCGGAGTTGAGTGGTGATTACGAGTATTAGTATCAGATGGAAGAGCCCACATATTGATAGAGATGAGATCTATTGGTTGGGTATTTCATCTCCCTTCAGGGTGCGCCTGCAGAAAGCCTGGTAGACACAGGACAAGGGAAAGCAATCTTTCTTCTAGTGGGGAGTGTTCCCCCCCTTTTTCTCTTTTTTTGCAGAGCATCTGTTAGAGGCCTTGAGTCAATTGTGGACAAGGATGGCAGCAACAATTGGCAGGGCCAGATAGGAAGCCAAACATGGGGACAACTTCTCTGTCTGCTGGAAAAGTGGAGTGGAAGAATTCACCTTTTGTGTCTCAAGTCCTGGGCAGAACAGTTTGGCAATGCTTTGGAACTGATGCATCATCTACCACTTTAATCTCCCCTCCACACCCCTGCACTTGCCACAAGTTTAGAATTGTTCTACTGTATAAGAGAGCAACCCTAAGTACATTTACTTGGGAGCATGCAGGAATATAAGTCTCTGGGTCAGCGTCCCAAGTCCGAGTCTGAATCTTTGGTACCAAGTCTCAAGCCCCAAGTTCAAGTCCAATTCCCTATTAAAAACAAGCTTCCCTCCCCCAGAAGAAAAGGGAGGTGTGGGTGACTTCCAAGTCACGAGTCCAAGTCATTGAGAAAAAAAACACACGTTGCCAGAGCAACTTAAGTCCGACTTGACAGCAAGTATTATTGTTTGTTAATAAATACTAGGGTTAGACCGCACAGGAGCAATTATTTAAAAGCTGAGTCTGTAAATATGCACGTTATCTTATGTATCTTTATTTAGATGTAAATAAAGATAAAAAGTATCATATAAATTGCACCTGTCCATTTTTATTGGCAGATTCACCTTTTCCTAATCACAAGCTACCTTTTATTCCAACTGTTGTAATTACTATTCAGTTAATTCTACATGCCCTCTGCTTTTTTTTTCACCAGAGTGGGGGGGAAATGTAGTCTTTCAGATGCAATTCCCAGCACCCCGGCTGGCCTACTCAGTGATGAGGAAAGTTGGGAGCATCAGTCAAGTAAGACTGGGAAGGAATACTTTGCATTCCCATGCTTTACAAGAAAGGATTATGTCCACAAGGGAGCTACATGAATAAGTGATTTTATCAACTGGAAGATAAAGCCTCCATGGGACTGGTGTGCTGCTGGTTGTTTCTCATTAAACACTCAATGGGGCTTGCATCTGAGAAGACACAGTTAGGTAGAGAGGGTTCTATATACTTGTGCCTTCACCATATTTAATTTGCTATACTCACAACTAGTCTACAGTAGTTCTTGAGTTCATGATCATTATTGTCATGTTTATATAAGTATAGTCAGAGAGTTACATACTGCAGTAGGTTACATGTGGCTTTGATTTAGTTATGTTGTCGATTTTGTTTATTGATACTTTTCCACTAATGACTCGTTGTGGTATCCAGCAGTTAAGCAAGCAGGGCAGCCTACACTTCACTGCAAATAACATTTTCTATTCTTCCTTCTGAGCACATGGATCCACTTGCCAGGTTTTCAGGTTTGTGATTCATGTTATCCATCTGAAGTGCTTACAATATATTTGGATCTTAAGAAAGATATGGAGATCTATCAGAGCCGGTAGAATTCTTATACAGTGGTGCCTCGCTTGATGAGGATAATCTGTTCCAGTGAAATCGCTGTAGAGCAAAATCCTCATCAAGTGAAATAAAAAGCCCATTGAAATGCATTGAAAACCGGTTCAATGCTTTCTAATGGGCTAAATACCTCAGCGTCCAGCAAGGATCCTCCATAGGGTGGCCATTTTCTGCTCCCTGTGCAGTGAAAAATCCATCCTAAAGCACAGCGGGGAGCCATTTTATACAGCGGGCGGCCATTTTGAAACCCGACGATCAGCTGTTTTGATAGTCGGGAAGTGAATTTTGCCCATTAAAACATAGTTTTGCGATCGTAAAAGCGATCGCAAAAACCTCATCGTCAAGCGGATTCGTCGTTTAACGAGGTAATTGTTAAGCGAGGCACCACTGCCTTTAGTTGGAATCCTCTAGTTCATCTGCTTGAATGTATCCTGTTCCACAGCTTCAAAAATATAAATGTTATATAAAGTAGATCAAACTTGTTTCTAAATGAATTTTTTCCCTTAGAAATATTGCGCACTGAGTGAAACTCATTTCATTATATTCACCCAGTTTTCTAGTCACTGAGTGTATAAATAAGAGGTAAATTCATTGTCCTGTGAATACCCCTGCACAGCTAGACTTAATGACAGTCTGTCGTGTGTCCAGTGGCAGTGGCAGCCACTGTCAGCCTTCCAATTGCTCCGGAGCCCCGCTCTCTTTCGGCTCATCTAGCCAACTCCAGGTAAGGGAAATGAGGATGTCTCCCTGCATGGCTGAGTGGCTAGATGAGCTGAAAGATAGCGGGGCTCCAGGAGTGACTGGAAGGCTGACTGAGGCTACCGCCACTGGAGGATCCATGAGTGGATGGTCTGGCCCCTCATTAAGTCCATTTGTGTGGGGGTATTCGTACTCGCAGACATAGTCTAGAGGGGCAGGGTAAAAATCTAATAAATAAATAAATAAATAAATAAATAAATAAATAAATAAATAAATAAATAAATACCCCCATCTATAACTGTAATCTCATTACAAGACAAAGTCGGTATTTGTAACAGTGCATAACCCAAATCTGGAGAAACTAAATGTGCTGCAGACAGAGTTGATGTCTGGAGGATATCTAAAGCATACCGGTCTGTCCTGGAGAAGAGAACTCAAAAGGTGGTGCTGGGGGACTCCTGTTTGACACCCTGCCCATTTCCCCAAGTGACTGGTTGTCTGAGTGGGTTATTTAAATGGATTGTTATACCTTACTGTTTTGGTGCTGCTGTTTTTTTTCTATATGGTATTTGTTTGACCCTTTTGTATTAGTATATCTGCCATTGTTAGCATTACATGCTATCTTTTAATGAAAGCCACCTTGGCGGGGTAAAAATACCTTAAATAAATAAATAAAATTATAACTGCCAAATTTAGGATGAACACTTACATCATTAAAGAAAAGCAAGTGGATCACCAAATAAAAGACACAGATTACCATTATGGTTGCACATATTAATTTTCTATAGATGCAAAACTGGAAACATAAACCATAATTAAAATAAAAACACAATGTATCCCCATAATAGAGAAGACTGTGATCAAGTGACTCTGTGTACCTGCCCCATCTCCTGTTCATGTGCTGACTATTGATGGGGAGCTTAAGAGCTCTTACGCTCTCTTCTGGCTGACGGGGAGCTCAATGGATTCAGTAGCTGGGTATGGAGCCAGAGGTTAGGAGTTCAAAAAAGCCAGCCTATATAGCCTTGGGTAAGCTGCACAGTTCCAATATGCCACCTAATAATAAGGGGATGTTAAACCTGAATAGTCTATGCCGAGAAAATCTTGGAAAGGGTCACCATGAACTGGAATTGATTTGGCATGTAATTACCCTCCCTTCTAATGGTTCTTTATCTTCAAACCAGACTGGGAGTAAGTAGCTCCCAGTTTAATAGTTTAATAGAAAACTGTTCCATGACAGTACTCTGGCAAGTAGGACAGGGGCCATTCCAGTTCAATTTCCTTCCCCTGGAAAATTTCTCTCCCATTAAAAAACCAATAAAACTATAGATTGGGGCTATATTAGTTGTTTCATTATGGACTATACCAAATGAAGATTTCAATAAAGAAGGTTCAGTCACCAATATATATATATATATCATTTAGTTTATTGTAAGTAAATAATGGAAGAAAGAATAATTATGTACATTTTAGATTAGTAGCAATCTGGCAGTCTCACAATTATACAGTTCATTCGAGTATGTTAACATTGTTTGCTTTTTATACGGTTGTACATTGCAGCATGAAAGTAAGTTATGATTTTATGACAGCCAAAGTCAACAAACTTTTGTTGAGAGTTTTGAAATCGTGATCACATTCTTATATATCACAAAGTCACAGCACGTTATGTTTTTTTTTAAATGGTTCAATTTGTACCCAACAATGGGCATGATTTTAAGATTGTTAAATCTTGGGGTTGTTTAATCTTAAAAAATGGCTTCTTAGTGGAAATGACAGATATGAGGAGTTACAGTGTATCCAAGGGCCAAAACAGATGAGATGGGGAGCTTCATAATTAGAAGAGAAGCTGACTTAAGCAATAAAATATATAATTATCAACTTTCACATATGGCAAACTACTTGCTGACTGATCATCAGGAGGAAACAATGGCCTCTATTTGCATGTTCTCTCTTTGTATGTGCACAGAGGCTAGTTGTGAAGAATGACTTTCTGTAGTGATAATGTTTAAATACCTCCTAATTCCAAAGCTGCCTCTCTTAACTATTTCGGACCTAAGAGGAATACTTGTGAAAACCACTGTATTCAATGAGAATGTAGCACACCCTTCTCTTTATTTTTAACATTGCTGGGCATGATGGTGCTGATCCTCTTTTCAGCTACTGGAGAGGGTGATCATCATGTGCTGTCATCTGCTGTAGCATCACTCAAACATCAAAGGATCATGCCTTTGTACTTCTTTATTTTCAAATACACAGTGTAAGCAAGAACAAACACTTCCACATTTTCTTCTTGTAAGCTACTACAACCATTATTGCCACTATACTGCCAGTGTATCCTTTTGATTTCACATTATGCTCTGCCCTGTGGCTCTTTTGTTGTTTTGGCTGTCAAAAGTCTGTGCAGCGCAACTGGTTGAGGCCTCTTGCTTTTAAGTTGCTAGAGGCCTTTTGCTTTTAAGTTTACACTGTACAGTGCTGTCTAGTCTCCAGAATGTCTTAGCTGTCTTACACAAACACAGACATATGGTTCAGAGGAAGACTGGCACATAAGGAACATTTTTTGAAAATCAGGGATGCAACACACTTGCATTGACAAATTATCATTCCACAAGCAAACCATCAGTGCCTTGAAGCAAAATAAATAACATCTGCACTTGCCTTTGGTTCCAACATGTTAGGCATAGACACTCCTCGGTCCATTCGCATTCCAGGGACGTGACCATCTGGGAGGGACTGCATCAGATATAGGAGGACATCAAACAAACAGGTTACATGCAAACAGACCCACACAAAAATAGGGTAAAGGCATTCATGGTAAATATGGACAGGAATTTATACATTCCCTAAGGCTTTTATCTTTGCATTGGCAAACAGAATTCCTACTATTCGTACTTAAATATTTAACAAGTTAATCATATGGCTCAAAGGATCTTCTCTTGCCTAACAAATGTTCCCCTTATTCATATCCTCCAACTGCTTTTGAGGTTAGAAGGCTTCATAGAGCGCAATAAAGACTCAATAGCAAGTTAATTTTTCTGGTCACTCAAAGACCTGTAGGATCACACCAAAGGTAATTAATTCTCTTGTATCTTTTTTCTCTCTCCAGAAGTGGCTATGCAAATACCTACAAACACAGAGTGAAGGGGGAGAGAAACCACTCCTTTTTTGTTCCTAGTACTAAATACTTATAGGCTACTACGTAAAGAACGGTTGAATATTGGCCAAAATTTCTTCACCTGCTTTCCACATACATTTTATTCTGAGTTTCTTCCCTTAATTTATTTTTTTTAATGATGTCCATTTGATAAGTACAATAGTAAGCTTCCATCTACTTTAGCCTGTAAAGTTTTTCCTTTTAAATATGCAATCAACATTTTACCCTAATTATTGAGGTTTTAAATTTTTAATAAATGATGGACTTCTGTGCACAAGCATTTGGACTCTAAATTTTAGAGTGAAGGTTAATATAGAGGGACATTCTCTCACACGCTTTTAATGACAAATCTACTGAGCTTCAGAAATGCTAGTGCTAGACAAGGTCACTTGTTATTATTTTTTCTTCCATGCCCACAACCACATAAATAAGGGTAGGGGGGGAAGGGAAGAGGGTCAGGAAAATATGGACATATATGAAAAATAGGAAGTGGTATGATTTCAGAATGAGGAGGGCTGTCACTCAAGTTACTTTTCCTGGAATCAGAGAGCTAAATCCTACTGAAAGGAGGCCACTGAATGAATACTTTTAAAGTTAACACATACAAATACCATTTGCTGAAATCCTCTTGCATAGCTCTGCATATGATATACAAAGCTGTGGCAGTGTTAGGAAAGGTGCAGTGGAGCAGAAGGGCTATTCACAAAACACCTCCATGTGCATGCCTGTCATGCAATGAGAAAAATGGTAGCTGAGCAACTGATTGCACAATCTAATTGCACCATGCTGGTTGCCTAGGGGTAACTCCTAGCACACAGGATTTCAGCCATTGATTCGAGTGTCTTACTCTAGCTGGGAAAAACAATTAGATTTAGCTCCCTGATATCAGGAGAAACTCATCAAAGAGAGAACTGCTTCCATCTCAAGCACTGGAAAATTTACACAGCAAATCACATTGGCTTGTGCCCTTTTCCTAGTAATACAAATTGACATTACTGATTAAGTACAAAACACGCAGATAAACAAGTGCTATGAAACTCTTCCCTCTAGCAGAAATTGAAACTTGAATAACAGACAGGATGGGTTGCTTGTGGAGTTGTTTAGCATGTCCACTACTTGATGGAAGAAAATCTGTACTGTACCTGGAAATCTGAAAAGCAATAAGTGGGAGAGAGGAAGAGATAAACTGTCAGGATTAGTATGCCACACAACATGGGTTTTAACTCTGGGGTTGTTCTTGAAGGTTAAATTGCCAAGGGCAAATACTTGCAAATAACTCCACTTCCAGATAACCTCACCTGGATGACTGAGAATCTTCACAGATAATTTGCAAGTGTAAAACACTCAGAATGAAACAAAGATGCAAACATTAACACTGAGCTATCAAATGCTATCTCTAATTTAACTCAGGTTTAGTATGCTGAGAAACCAGGTCAATATATTTGTCTGAAATATGAAAAAGTACCTGCATAGATCAAGGAATAAAAATGATATTATCCAGATGTGAGAACAGCATAACCTTTTCATCTGACCACAGATAGCATTTTAAGAACATGCTATAAAACCCACAAGTCATGTATTTTTTTTAAAAAAAGCAGCACAGAGAAGGAAACAATATCTCTTAAGATCTTACCTCGAGCAGCACTGCTCACATCACCATAACTGTTGTATTGACCAAAGTCTGTAGACATTGGCTGTAAAGAGAAGAAATCAACAGCCTTGTCAACCACATTATCTCAACACCGGAAAGTCTTAAGATCATCATTAGCAAATGTGTGAAAATTTGTGGACCACAAGTTACCATATACAGATGTATTAAAGGCATCAGCAACACATAGGTGTATGGAAAAGTTAACAGCAGAAGCATCAAAAGAGAAAAGTAGTGGGGCAGAATGGTCTGTATGACCAATTAAGAAAAAAAAGCTCTGGTGCAGTAGCAATCAAACCCAAAATAACCGGGGGGGGGGGGGGGAGAGATGGTTGAAGGCTGTCCCTTGTTCTAGCTCTGTTGCCAGCAACCAGAATCGAGCTAATTTGATCAGCCAACCCTCCACTCTATCCTTGATGCTGTTAAATGCCAGATCTGCTTTAAATAAGGCACAGCTAATCCAAGACTTGATCCTGGATGAAATAGCAGATCTGGCCTGTATCATTGGGACCTGGATGGGCACAGAGGGCGGTGTAGCCCTTTCATTAATTTGCCCACCCGGATATCCCATCCAGCACCAAGGTAGACTGGAGGGTCAGGGAGGGGGAGTTGCCATTATTTATAAAAACACCTTAGAGGTTGTTAGGCTCTTTGTCTTGAGCATCCCATGTCTTGAGGCCCTTCATGTGTTGGTGGGTACCAGGGAGCCGCCTAGAGTGCTCAAAATGACTAGATAGGTGGGGTATAAATAAATAAACAAATAAACAAATAAATAAATAACCAGCACTCTCCTTTCTGGAGCTGGTGGACTTCATCTCGGCAGCAGCACTGAGGTCTCCCAGACTAATTGTTCTGGGTGACTTCAATGTCTATGCTGAGGTTGGGGCCACAGGTCCACCTCTTGAGTTCTTGGAAATCATGGCTTCCTTGGCAAGGGACCCATTAAGATGGTCTGCCCACACAGGCTATTAGATCCTGTTGGTTTCTAAGATGCAATGCAGGGGATACTGGCTGACCTTGCTGGCACTCCTGTTGATGCTCTGGTGGATGAATGTTATGTGGAGGGCTCCAGGGCGGCTAACATGATCGCTCCTAAAAGCCCCTCCATTCTCGACCCCAGCCAGCTGCCTGATATAACCAACAGCTATGGGGGTTGAAGAGTATTAGGAGGAGACTAGAGGGCATTTGGAGATGGGCCCTGACAGTAAATAACCTAAATGCCACTAAAATCACACCAAATATCTACTTAGTCCCTTGGCTGTAAGAAAATCCTACTTTGCTCCCTGGATAAATGAAGCTCAGGACCATTAAGCAGAACTGTCCTGCATTGTACGTGACTGTTCCAGAACAGGCCTCCCAGTAGCATCTCCTGTGACCAATTTGTGGCCTTCTTTAAACAAAAAGTGGAGGCCATCCACCGGGACCTAGATATCTCCTCGTTATCAGTGGTTCAAGCCGAGATGTCCAGTGCATCACCTTGCTCAGAAATTTTAACACAATTTCAACCTGTGACATCAGCTGACGTTGACAGGCCCCCTATCACTGCAGGGGCACTACCTTCTCACTAGTTCCTTGCCTGGCCTGGCTTTTGAAAGCGGTCAGGGTGTTAACAGTGAAGTGATTGCAGGCTATTATTAAGGGGTCTCTCCTTGAGGGCAAGGTTCCCCTCACCCTCAAGGAGACACTCATTAAGCTGATCCAGAAAAAACTCAACTTGACGGCTGATGATATTAAGTACCGTCTCCAACATTCCCTTTATTGGCAAGCTGGTGGAGAGAGTGGTGGCTGACCAGTTTCAGGCATTCCTGGAGGAGACTGATGCCCTTGATCCATTCCAGTCTGGGTTCAGGCCGTGTCATGGCATGGAGATGGCACTGGTCACCCTACAAGATGACCTCCTGAGGGAAGGCGACAGGGCAAAATGTCCTTGTTGATCCTTCTCGATCTCTCAGTGGCCTTTGATACCGTCAACCACAGTATCCTCCTGGGAAGGCTCTCGGGATTGGGGATCGATGGTCAGGCCTTGGCCTGGCTCCGATCCTTCCTGGAGAACTGTCCCCAGAGAGTTCAGTTGGGGAGATGTTGTTCACTCCATGGACTCTCAATTGTGGGGTCCTGCAGGGGTCAATAGTCTCCCCAATGCTATTTAATATCTATATGAGGCCACTGGGGGAGGTCATCAGGAGTTTTGGAGCTCTGTGTCACCAATATGCAGATGACACTCTGCTCTATCTCTCCTTCTGTCCTTCTGCAGTGGATGCTGCCCCATCCCTTGAACACTGGTTGGATGCGGTGCTGGGATGGACAAGGAAGAACAGACTGAGGCTGAACCTGGACAAGACGGAAATCCTGTGGGTGGGGGCTCCTATAGTCTGTGGTCTGGTTGCCTCCCTGCCTTTTTTTGGGGGGGGGTTACTCTTTCAATGAAGATGAGGTGTGTAGCTTGGGTGTACTTCTGGACCCAATGCTATCAATGGCATCACAGGTAGCATCTGTGGCCTGTTCCGCTTATTTCCATGTAAAGCAGGTTGCCTAGCAGTGCCCCTACCTTGACACCTGGTCCCTCAACACACTGGTTCATGCACTGGTAGTCTTGAGATTAGACTACTGCCCAGGCAAGGTGGTTGAGAGTTCTGACTCCAAGAGAGGCCCGGAAAACACCTACTAGAAACTGGGCCTTCTCGGTGGTAGCTCCGCAACTATGGAACTCCCTTCCACCTGAAGTCCTCCTGGCCCCTTCACTGGGCACATTTAGGAATCTGTTAAAAACCGGGCTATATAAGCAAGCCTTCCCTGAACAAACAGCTGTATGATACAACAGTATTTGCTAAAATATCATCCATCACACCACCATGTTTCTTGTATTTTATATTTTATGCTTTTAACTATAATTTATTGTATTGTACTTGTTTTACTGCACTTTATGATATTTGATTGATGCCCCAATTGTATTATTAATATTTTGTATATGTATTATTTTGTTATTCTGTTATTTGTTTATCTGTTGTAATCTGCCCAGAGTGTTCCTGGATGCCACATAGGAGGCATACAAATTAAATTAACAACAACAACAACAATAATAATGATGATGACGACGATGATCCAGGATGAGCCTGCAACCTGAATTAATAGCTTATGGCCTCCACTAAAGGTAGAAAATGGTCAACAATTTATCACAATATTTTTATTGCTGGGGGAGCAATTTGGTATTTATTCATGTTTTTGTCAAGTTGCCAAGATATCTTGGCCACTTTTGAGTCGGAAATAATGGAGGATGTGTACATCCTTCTAAATTCCTTCCAAACTCCTATAGTGTTTCCATAAATGACTTCTAAACTCCTATAGTGTTTCCGTAAATGACTTCTGCAATGTTTGTATAAGGCATAATAAAATAAAGATGAACACTGGTTTAACAGAGTAACTTGGGTAGTAGTTTATTTTATGTTATTTATGTTATTTTATGCTATTTATTTATTTTATGCTACTTATATTGGTTGCCTATCACATTTCAGAGAACAGCATTGTAGCTGCTGTAGACAACACCATCCCAACTCATAAACTTGAGAAAGTAGTAGTGATAGCCCAGGAAGCTGGAATAGCTCTCTGTGCTGGACTGCTAGACTGTGAAGCCAGGGATGAACAGTTTTAATCCCTACTGGAGCCTCATGGTGCAGGGGTTAAACTGCTGTACTGCAGCCAAAACTGTACCCACGACCCGGGGTTCAGTCCCAGGTAGCCGGCTGAAGGTTGACTCAGCCTTCTATCCTTCCGAGGTTGGTAAAATGAGTACCCAGCTTGCTGGGGGGGGGGGCAATGGGTAGCCTGCATGATTGACTTGTAAACCACCCAGAGAGTACTTGAAGCACCACGGGGCAGTAGATAAGCAGCACGCTTTGCTTTTTTGCTTCACTGGGTCAGTGGAGATCACCCAGAACTTGCATAGTTGTTTGGGTAAGTGTCCTGGCATCTGTGTTTGATCTTGGGTAAGCTACACAGTCCAAGACCATCACCAAAAAGAGTGACACTAAAGCATTTCTGAGTACCTTATACTTAGAAAACCCTGGGAGGATTGCCACAAGTTAGAACTGACATGATGGGGCACACTTATTTAATTAACAGGTCAGGATATTTAGGGGATGTATTTCAATGAAGGAGAATAGTCTGATGTTAGGGAACAACAACAGGATATTCTGAACAGGGAGGGGGAAAGGAAGTAGGGGATTAAATCTCTTCCCACCAAGTTAGGTGATGTTATTTAGGTATCAGTCCTTTTCTTTCTCTGTAATCTAGCACTGCATGTAAAAAAAGGGAACAATAAAAGTGTACATTTGCAAATGAATTCAAATACTTAAAATCTACATTTCCTAAACTTCCTCTAGGCAGGTTTTTAAGCAGTAAGTTGTTTCAGGAATGCTGCATTTGAACTTACAGATTTTAAAATGTTTTTAAATTATTTTGAAACTTTTAAAAAAAATTAATATGAGTTTAATTGATTTTTTTAAAAATGTGATATTTATGTCATATAATTAAAAGCAGATAAAATAACAGATGTCTCTACACCTGTTATTTTATCTGCTGTGAACTGCCTTGACTCTCCTATGGGGGAGGGAGATGGCATATAAATAATATTAATACATAAAATAATAAATAAAACAGCAAGAGTTTTTCAGTGAGGCCAAAATCAAACTGAACTACTATGTGGTGTGCGCCAGAAATTCCGAAAGAGAAAAATGAGAAGAATTTAACCGTATTCAATTTCTGTAAATAAAAACTATCATAGTTTCTAACAGAAAAGAGATAGCAAGCGCTTTCTTCAAAGACTGAGATGGTATTTCCTTAAAGAAAATGCTTTTCTACCATCTCTAAGTCTGGCTTAAACATCAGTGACCCTTTACCAAATATTTAGCATTGTTTTGCCTCCATCTCTGCTTATTTCATAAATAGTGTCATTTGGAGACACAGAGGAATTTTTAATAGATCTGCTGTCACCTTCTATATGAACACTATAAACACATGGGGCTTTGTTCTAGGAAAAGAGTTGTCTGCTTACCCGATGAAGTCCATTTCTCCCATAGCCAGGGAGGGAAGAGGTTTTAGAGGCAGTTGCGCGTGGAGCTAAACAGAGAAAAACAGAACAAAAACCCCACAATAATAACATACCCATATCATGTTATTGTAGCATAAAAATGCAAACCAAAATTAAATGCAGCACATTTTAGTAATTTCATGTATTGCCATAAGAGCAAACTGATTCTTGGTAGAGGATCATTATGGTATATCTGGAATACGTTAGAAAAAAAATCATGAGATGGAGGAAAAATTCCATGAGATTATGGCGAAGCGGACTATTCATACTGCAAGTCTGCATCCATGTGAATCTCTATGAAACAATTTTGTTTTACATTGAATCTAGCTGCAGTGTATTATCATGTTAGTTCTAAAGTTTGTATCCAATACAAACTTTTTAATCATGATGCCAGCCACAGAGACCGGCGAAATGTTAGGAAGAACAACCTTTAGAACATGGCCAAAGAACCCGAAAAACCCACAACCAACCATTTGTATCTAATCTTTATCTGTATTTTTTTTGAGATTTTAGTGTTTAAAAAATCTTGTGTTTAAAATACACAGAAATTATTTCATACATTACAAATATTTTCTAGCCATGTCACTACATGTGGCATGTACTGGAATGATGCATGCTGCTAACAACACAGTTTTCCTCTAACTAACTAGGCAAACACTACATTTTGAACAGCCCCTTAAGGCAAGCCAGTATTATTACTCCCATATGAGCCAAACTGGGACTTGTAGTGGGAGGGCTTGCTGATACCAAAAACCCACAGCTTTCCCTAAAGCTACGTAATTAGTTCATGAAAATGTGGTATTTGAATAGGACATTGTCTGTGCTTATATACAAACATATATTTATGGGGCAGGTCCAGTAAGCAACTCGTTGATTCAGGGTATGTAGAAGGAAACAGTATAAAGAATGGTTCAGTCTGATATGTCTCTGAACCTCTGTGTATAGTGCGTTTCTGTGAATGTGTATTTCAACATGCATTTTTGAGCTCTGGACAGAGCACTAAGAAGATACACTGTAGTTACATGATCTCTCTCTCTGTCTCCACACATACACACACACACACACACAGAGACGATCTCTCTCTCTGTCTCCACACACACACACACACAGAGAGAGAGAGAGAGAGAGAGAGAGAAAGAGAGAGAGAGAGAGAGAGAGTGCTGTTCCTATAAATAAACAGTAATTATAACTCTGCTTCTCCTCTGAAATGAACTGCAGTTTGCCCAAAAGACCTGTCTGGTGAGCCAGCCATACATTCGCTATGATCCAGCACTATGGAATGTGCTGCCCTGCTCCCTGAGGCGGATTTCCTCTTCCAATGTGGGAAAGGCTAAAAGGCTATGAGAAGTATAAATATCAACAAGGTGTATGTCACTTTTTAATCATGATTTCATGACCTAGCCTGCTGGCTTCGCAGGAACACCAATATTGTTGTGACCTAAGCAGTGATCCACATTTTGCATGTTACTTAATACATATGTGAGCAGTAATCTCATAAAGATGAACAGTATTTTTGTCTCAATTAAATATTAAACATCTCTATGCACTCTACAGTTTTTAGAAAGTCACTATCAGATTTGGGATTCTACTAAAGCCTTACTTTAACTCTTTTATGATTATTTCATTTTATGTCAGAAGACAATTAGTATTATACCTTTCAAAAAGGGTATAATTTTCATCAGCAAGTGTCATTGTTGTTCTGTGCCATCAAGTCAGAACCAACGTATAGTGACCCTAACAGGGCTTTCAATGTATATAAGTGAGGTATTTAAGGAGTGGTTTTACCATTTCCACCCTCCCAGTGAGTTTCCAAGAGTTCAAGTCCACCATTGGGAATCATATCAACAACTAGTCTATGAGAAACAACAATTTTCTCTAGAAATGGCTCTTCCTGTGAACATAATCCTAGTGAGATGTTACTTCTAGATCTGAATATTTTTCAGCAGCCCAAACAGGAATCTACCCATCAGTCTATCCTAGAATACAACATAGTTTTTAAAGTAAATTCTGAATGGTGCAGAAGAAGAGATTTGAGAAGGTTAAAACAGATGTATATTTCTGTGTATTTATTTATTTTATTTACATTATTTTAAACCTGCATTTCTCCTTAAAGAAGATCCAAGGTGGCTTTCAACAATTAAAAGAGTAGTTAAGCTAATAACAGTGAGTATACAATACTAAAAGGATCAATGAATACAATACCAAAAAACATAAGTGACATAAAAATACATTCAATGAAGTAATGTACAACAGTACATTTTGAAAATCCCACTTGGTAGGATTCACTCAGGGAAAACTTGCCTGAAAAGAAAGGCCTTTGCCTGCTTGGAGAAGGACAATAAAGACAGGGCCAGTCCTGTGGGAAGGAGTTCTAGTCTGGGAGCAGCAACAGGAAAAGCCCACTCCCATGTCCCCACCAAACACACCTGTGAAGGTGGCAGGACCAAGAGGAAGGCCTCTCCTGATGATCTTGACACTCAAGCAGGCTCATAAAGGGAGATGTTGTCCTTGAGAAAGCTTGGACTGTCCACACAGTCAAAGGCTTTTGCGTAGTCAATGAAGCAGAAGTAGATGTTTTTCTGGAACTCTCTGGCTTTCTCCATAATCCAGTGCATGTTAGTCAACTCCATAAATTTCATCAGTTCAAATGGGCCCATTCCAGTTGTGACTTACTTTAGTGCAATATGTTGCAACTAGAGTAGACCCATTTGAATCAATGAAACTTAGGAGGAGCTGACTTACCAACCCCACTGATTCAATGGGCCTATTCAAGTGCTTAAGACATTGTAAGAATCTACTGTAGCCAGAGAAAGGATGGTGAAAAATGAACACATTAATGACAGGTTCATTCATACATGTGTCATGCTAAAGAGTATTAACCAGCACTAGATTTGATCAGGGCTTCTCCAAAAGCATCCTGCAGATATGTTGAACTACTGCTCCCATCATGCCCCAACCTCATGCCCCAACCAGCAGTGCCAAGAGTAAGTTGGTCCCCTTGTCATGGTCAGATCACCACCTAATAAAATGTAACCTCTCAGTGGCCCTCTCCCCTTGCAGGGAGCAGGGACCTATTTCTATGGTCCGTCTTCAAAGGCTACTGGATCCTGTAAGATTCCAGGATGCCATGAGAGGAGTTACGGCTGACCTGGTTGGTGCTCCTGTCGAGGTTCTGGTTGATGGCTGGTTTACCGCTGCCACCAGGGCTATAGACACGATCATGCCTAAATGCTCTCTCCAACACAGAGCTCGGCCTGGTCCCTGGTTTAACCGGGACCTTTGAGTGATGAAGCAGCTTAGGAGAAGGCTAGAGCGCAAGTGGAGGAAGAAACCGACGGATTATAACTCGATAGCTGTCAGGGTTGCAACTAACCTTTACCTGACTAAGGTAAAGGCTGCCAGTAAAGCATATTTCGCTAACCGGATAAGCGAAGCGTCCAACCAGCAGGCGGAATTATTCCGTATAGTATGCGACCTATCCGGAATTGGTCTGAGTGATGGGCCTCCCCCTAGTTTCTCACTGGACCAATTTGCAGCATTTTAAAAATCTAAAGTGGAGGCCATCCGCCGGGAGCTCTCTCCTTTTTAAATACAGTGAGATGAGCAGATGTCCAGCTCTCCGTCTTGCCCGGTGACTCTAGATCTTTTTCAGCCTGTGACGCCAGATACTGTGGACAAGGCACTTGATCGCTGTTATGCCACCACCTCCTCCCTTGACCCTTGCCCGGTCTGGCTAATCAAAGCAGCCAGGCCGATAACAACTGAATGGGCCACAGCAATAATTAATGGGTCTTTCCTTGTGGGCATGGTTCCTCCCGCCCTCAAGGAGACACTCATTAGGCCCATAAGGAAGAAACCTAATTTGGCGGCGGATGAAATTGGCAATTATAGGCCCGTCGCCAATGTTTCTTTCATTAGCAAAGTGGTCGAGAGGGTGGTGGCTGACCAGCTTCAGGCTCTCTTGGATGAAACAGATGCCCTGGATCTGTTCTAGTCGGGCTTCAGGCCGTGCCACGGTACAGAAACGGCATTGGTCGCCCTGTATGATGACCTGCTGAGGGAGGCTGACAGGGGTAAAACATCTCTGTTGGTCATTCTCGACATCTTGGCAGCCTTTGATACCATTGACCACGGTATCCTCCTGGGGAGGCTCTCTGGGTTGTGGATTGGCGGCCTTGTGACTGCATGGCTCCGATCCTTCCTTGGGGACCGTCCTCAGAGAGTACAGCTTAGGGAGAGGTTATCGGCCCCGTGGACCCTCAACTGTGGGGTTTCACAGGGCTCGATTATCTCCCCAATGCTGTTTAATATCTATATGAGGCCGCTGAGTGGTGTCATCAGGGGATGTGGAGCATCATGTCATCAATATGCTGATGACACTCAGCTCTACATCTCCTTTTCACTAACTGCAGGTGATGCCGTTCTGTCCCTTCAGCGCTGCCTGGGGACTGTACTACAATGGATGCAGGAAAATGGGCTGAGGCTGAACCCGGATAAGACAGAGGTCCTGAGGGTGGGTGCCCCCACTGTTGGCGGTTTGGGTGACTCTCTCTCATTTGGGGGGGTGACCCTCGCTGCAAAGAGTGGGGTTCACAGCTTGGGGATCCATCTGGACCCGGCACTCACCATGGAGACTCAGGTAGCGTCGGTGGTCTGTACTGCCTTTTCCCACCTTTGGCAGATAGCCTCTTGATACGAGGGCGCTCACTACCTTGGTACATACGCTC